TGCCTGGCAAGTACAAGGGAGTTGGATTTCCGGTTGAAAAAAAAAAAAAAAAAAAAAAAAAAAATCAAACTACTTTCCGTTCATTAGTGAAGAGACACCAAGAACTACAGTAGGTACCTTTCACCCAGGGACGCAGCCTAAGCTTACATCCACTAGAGGAGCAAGCTGTGTACCTGACACTTGCCTCTCTGACTGGTGATCAAGGCCTTCCCTATACTTCCGGTGATCCCAGCATGCTTTGCATTATGTCAGTAAAACACCAGTAATCCATCCATGGCCATTCTCTCTAGGTGAACTTTGGCTCTCTGAACACTTCCGGGTTTGTGGTGGAAGCTACTTTGTGCATTGTAGGATTTAGGCAGCACCTCTAGTCTCTACCCACTAGATGGCAGCAGCATAGCCCCAGTTGAGAATGACCACACAAGCTACCCTCAGGACAGTTACCCACTAGAAGTGGCTTACTTTAAGTGGTCATATTGGAAGAACCTTCTTGTCTCCCCTCCTAATGGCTCCTAAAATCCTCATGCTCTTCCTGACAGCCGTGTCTGTGGAGCTAAGGATCAAACATTGCATTGAGAGAAGGAAATGATCAACCCTCCCCAGGCAAAATTAGTTCTTCCTTCTGATTTCTCTAGGACTGTGGCCCTTTCTGGCAGAGACTACTAGTTGTCCAAAAAGCTCTCTCCCCTCAGCAGTGGGGCTCTACAGGGGGAACTGGCATGTGACTTCACTTCCGGAAACCATTCCCAGCCCTCCTCAACACCTTGTGTGACCTCAGTTACCTTCTGCAATATTTCATCAGGACACCAGGATGCTGATCCTGGGCCATGGCCTAAGGGAGGGACACTGTGGGCTCCCCAGGCCTCGCCTCTGCTTCCCAGTGATGAAGACATTCAGAGAGCTGGGCCAGCTGCCTTGGACCCAGGGGAGCTGTGCGTTAGAATGGCCATGCTTGGCACCCAAAGGGTGACTTTCATCTTTGTCTTTATCACCATCTTCCTCCTCCTCTCCTTTTTCTCCCTGTTCTTCTCCTTCTTTTTTGCATTATGAAGGAATTGGACTCGGGGCTTTGGTACTGAGCACCACCCCCCTTTTTGAAATAGGTCTTGCTAAGTTAACTAAGTTGCCTGGGCTGGGCTTGAACTTGGAATACACCTGCCTCAGTCTCCCAGAGTTGTGGGATTACAGATGTGGACCACCACACCCAGCTGATAACTTGCTTCTTAAAGTGGACTTGAAAAATAAAATAAGCCTGGTTATGTTTAAGCCACTCAACTTGGATTCTATACAAGCAAACACACCGGCACCCTTCCTCATATAGGCATGTACAGGGTGTATACTCTAGACGAAGGATTGGCAGTGCTTTTGTAAAGGGCCAGAGAGAACTATTTCAAGCTCCTTGCACCATGCAGCCCCTGCAGCAGCTCAACTCCACCGCTGAGGCTGGAGTCTGCAGACCTCTGCTTTGGGCCATGGTATTCCTCTCTTGCCTTTGGTGCATCTTATCTTTCTACCCTGAAAAGGCACCTGTAAGCAGGGATCTCACCACCTGCCCTGAGGTTCCTGCCCATATTTTCTCAGTCTCTTCCTCTTGTCCCCTCTGCGTCCTGTTCCCAGCCCATCTAAGCCAGGAGGCAGGGATCATCTCTGAATCACTGCTGTCTACCTAGCCCTGAACTTACACCCGTTCCCCTACCACCACTTACCCGTGTGGATTCGAAGATGACGGTCCAGGTCTTTCATGCCGTGAACGGTTTTGAACTGGCAACCTAGCAGAGAGGAAAGAAGATACAGCTCATAAAATGGACTCAGTCCCTGGCTTATCATGGTTTAATCTGTGATTTTTTTTGTTTGACTTTATGGCAGTGTGGCAGTGCTCCCGTACACCCGTTCTGTGTTCACTTTCGGTATGCTACTCAGTAAATTCCATGGGATTCTACATTTTCTTATAAAGCAGGCTTTGTGTTCGCTGATGGTGCCTGGCTGTAGTCTAAGTTAAGTGGTCTGAGCTTGTTCAGTGCAGGCTGGGCTAAGTAGGGGAGGGTGATGGCTTAGGAGCATTAAATGCATTTTTAATTTAGGATATTTTCAACTTAAAGGGGTTTGAACAAGATGTGATGCCTTAAGTCAAAGAGCAAACGAACCTCAGAGAGGAAGCTACTACGGGCCTGAGGTTCTGGGAGTCACACGCCGAGCTGCGGGTGCTCAGGATGACAAGAGCCTCAGTGAGAGGGAGCAGCTGCGGATTCTCACCCACGTGACCTCTGAGAGCCGCGCGGAGCTGCCGTGAGAACCACACAGCCTGAACTGCACAGCCAGGTCCGCACTGGGCACCGAAAAGGGGGCTTGGCGCGTCGGCCTTCGCTTTTTACCTGGGTAGCAACAGTTGAACGTCCTCTCTCCGAGGGTAGCCGTGTGTTCCCTCGACTCTGAGGGAAGAGCCATGGTAGGGGCCTTCTGGGGGTCACCGCCTTCCGTGCAGAGGCCGCGTGGTTTCGGTACATTGTTACCGAGCTCGGAAGCTGAAATTGAGGTATGAGATTTCTTATTTATTTTTTTTCAAGTATAACCACCATGCTAAGTCCAACAAGACGGTAAGTTTGCACTTATTTCACCGTCTATCAACAGCTCTTTAAAAATATTTTTTTAAAACGGACCAGGCAGCTGGGTTCAGTGATGCACACCTATAATCCAAGCGACTGGGAGGGAGGCTGAGACAGGAAGATCACAAATTTAAGCCCAGTCTGGGTTACTGAGCCTGTGTCTTAAAATAATAAAAAAAAAGGGCTAGGTTCTGGGTTTAATCTTCAGTAGTGTCCCCCCCCCCCACCCCAAGAAAGAAAGATAAAAGAAGCCAGCAATGGTGGCACATGCCTGAATTCCCCACTACTTGGGAGGCTGAGGCAAGAGGATCTTGAGTTTGATTGCAGACTGGGCTACATAGTGAGACTCTACTCCTGGGTTCAGTCCCCCATATTGCAAACCCATGTACATTCTAGCTAATCTTGCAAAAGTCCTCTTCCTTTAACAACCAATTTCCTAAAAATAACAAGAGACAAGAGGGTCTCAGTAATGCCACAGAGATACAGCTGGCATAATTCCAGTGAAAAACCACTGGTGTGAGATGAAGACCTAGTTTTGAAAAACCATATCCAAGTCATCACAAATGAATACTTTTATAAATGTAATAAATGCAAATCCCAAGAATGAAGACAAAATAAAAGTGTGAATGTTATTATCAGATACAATAGAAAAGTGGACCTCCTGGTGCCAGCGCTGATAGTGCCCAGCCCTGAGGGTTTCTCACTGTCTGATGCCTGGCCCACTTCCACCCCCATCCTTCTTTAAATCCCTAGGTATGGAATACTGCCATTCCTAAAATAGTGGCGCATTATAACCCTAAAAAATTTCACTGAAGGATCCTTTGCACTTTATCTCTCTGTCACAATCCCAGAAAGGCTGCAAGGAATAAAACCCATCATTAGTCACTTTCTGAGGGCAGGATTACTGATCTGTACCAACTCCCACTCACACTAGCCCTATCCTGCCAGTAACAAACCAAGCAACCAACCAACCTACCTACAGCCAGCCAACCTACCAACCAACCAACCTACCAACCTACCTACAACCAGCCAGTCTACCAACCAACCAACCTACCTACCAACCTACCTACCAACCTACAACCAACCAATCAACTTACCTACCAACCAACCTACCTACCAACCTACCTACCAACCAACCTACCTACCAACCAACCTACCTACCTACCTACCCACCTACCTACCTACCAACCTACCTACCTACCAACCTACCAACCAACTTGCCTACCGGCCAACCTACTACCAACCAACCTACTAACTAACCTACCTACCAACCAATCTGCCTACCAACCAACCTACCTACCAACCAACCTACCTACTAACCAACCTAGCTACCAACCAACCTAGCTACCAACCGACCTACCTACCAACCGACCAACCTACCAACTGACCAACCTACCTACCAACCAACTTACCAACCTACCTACCAACCGACCAACCTACCTACCGACCAACCTATCAACCTACCAACCAACCTACCTACCAACCAACCTACCTACCAACCAAGCTACCTACCAACCAACCTACCAACCAATCAACCTACCCACCAACCAACCAAAGTACTTACCGACCAACCTACCAACCTATCTAACTACCAATCTGATGGTTTTTTGTGTCTGGGTCAAGACCCACAACAAATTAACTCAACAGTTAGCCCCATCCATCCAGTGGCCTCAAATCCTTACAGCCTTCTCTTCCAAATTCCTCCTGACACTACTTACTTTTTGGTTCATGGCCTTGAAGTACCCCTTGGACCTGCCAGCCCCAAATCTTTTCACATTCACTTGGATGGCACAGACTCTCAGAGCTCACCCACTCCTTCCCAGGTCTCTCCTCTCCTCTCCAGTCCAGCTGGGGCTTTCAGACAAGGGTTCTGACCTTCGTTACACTTCTGAGATGCACTTACAGGAGTCACTGGCACTTCTTGCTTTTTGCGTGGATTAAAGATAAGGAGTTACTCTCCATCCTGGGGTCACCTAGGAGTTCAGGTTCTATCCTGGGAATCTGTATTCCCAGGCTTTCTGGGCTTCCTGGAAACTCCAGTGAGGTCCTGTCTCAAGTTTCTTCTTCTGCCTCTTTTCTGAGGAGGACAAGCTCCCCCATGGCCCCAGCCAGCCTTAGCCTGCCCCCCTAAGGAACTGGGACCAACTAGACTCCACCATCTGTCATCATGATCCTTTCTGTAAGCAGGAGAGAAAATGAGGAACAGTCCTGTATGTCCAGCTTTCTTCTGTCTCCAGAGGCCCCTGCTCTTTTCCGTTCTGAATGGAACCCGAGCCTTTTTTTCCATCTGCAGTACAGTAGGTACCCTCACCTCCCTCAGACTTCTTACAAGATGACACAACCTTTGCCCCCTCAGACCATGTTAGCGTCCCAACAAGGGCCGACAGGGGCGGCCCACTTACCCGGCTTCTGGGCCCTCCTCGCTTCAGTCTGACTGAAACACACACCAGGACCATGCAGTGCCAAGGCTGGGGTGAGCACCTGGATGTGCCCTCCACTGGAAGATCCTTCCCAATCTCCAACCCCTCCTTGTTTGCCTCTGCTTCTACCTCTACCTGCCACCAGATCCCTCCCCCAACACCACTGTTCTTCAGCATCTCCAGTCAGTGCCTTCAACCTAAACCTAGAAGCTCCTCCTACTGCTGACCACACCCAGCCCACACCGCCCCTCGCTGCCACGGCATTTGGATATGCTACATCCATGTGGGGTGCAAAGCAAAACAATGAATGACCCAGTCCATGGGCCTTTTACCCCATTTCCCACTGTGATGATTTTGTCCCATGCTTGTCTTGCATGACTGGCCTGCTTTGGTTCTGCGAGAAACAAACCAACCAACCCATTTATCTATGGGCCCCAGTCCTCTTTCTAGTCCTCCGGGAGCCTCCCTGTCCTTTCTTGGATACTCCCTTCTCTGGCATCTCTGTTCTTCATAGGGATAGCGGCTCTCTTTTTACCTTGTTTATTAATCTGTTTCAAAGATTTCTCATCCACAGAATTACAGCCAGTTCTCAGGTGGTCCAGGCAGGCGCTTACGCCACTGAGCTAAATCCCCGGCATTGGGTGGTCCAAAGACGATATCAAGACCATCCTTCTCAAGACGAGGTGACAACCTTCCCATTGTCCCCCATCAGCAGGAAGCAGTCAAAGATAAAACAGTACCCTTTCTCCTTATCTTACCATAGAGCCCAGAATGAAGGAATCGGACCAGCACCTTGAGACCAAGGCGACATTCAGAAACACCCCTTAGCTTTCAAGCACCTAAAGCTTTAATGTCTTTGAAATGTAAAGCCACCTGCCCATTGGTCAGAGCTCCCACAGCCTGCTCGCTAGATGGCCAATTATGTTCTGTCCTCCAGTTCTCCCCTGGACAGCGCACAGGTTGCGGCTGCCTGCTTGAAGGACAACCACACCAGCCTGGTTCCAACTCCCTTCTCAGCCCTCCCCTCTTAACCCTAGAAAACCCCTGAGTGTGTAAGTCACGGGCTGCCTGGTCCTCATACCAGTGGTCCCTCTCGGGTTTTAATCCCAATAAAACCTGTCCTTGGCTATGGAGCTCCAAGCCTTTCTTTTTTCCCTAACAGTATGAGATGTGTATTATGGTTCAAAATAATCCAGGACAAGAGATGAATTGGCGTGCATGAGAAACAGATTGTCCACCAGCCATTAACTGATGAAGCGAAGCAGGGGGTCCATGGGAGTTCATGGTGTCATCCTCTCGCCTCTAGTATGCCTTGGCCGTACCATGTGAGACCACCATTCGTACAGACAAAAATGGTCAAGTAACTTCACGTGGCTCGATTTACTACGCAGACTAAAATTTCTGTAACAAACACTGAGTGCTCCTAAAGGACTCCAAGGTGATTATCTCCAAATAGATGCAAGTCCAAGCGAGGGGAAAAAATCCAGAAGTGTTGTCAATGCCAGATCTTGCAGTGGGGGAGGACTGACACCAAAGATAGTGACTAGCTTGCGAATTATAGGCCAAGGCATAGGACTTATTTTGTGGCCCTAAATGATAATAAATAGTGGATTCTACCTTTAATGGGAGGCTTGTGGAGATGAAGTAATCCTACCCCTAAAAACCAAAAAGCACAGTGAAGATTTCAGCCCTAGGCAGAGGGTCTGCTTAGCTGTGTAACTAGAGGCAAGTCACTTAACCTTTCTGAGCTCTGATGTACTCATATCATGAGATACCATATACGCCTCAGAGACATGGGGTTAAGACATGAAAAATGTAAGTTTGGAAGCTGGGTTGAGCACATGCTCACAGTCACTTGGTTTGAGATGCTGAAGTGAACAGAACTGCAGCTGCCACTTCCAAGCGGCGGTGGTACCCGAAGCCACCAAAACAGGTCGGAATGAGTGATTGACACCACGGGCTCTCAAATGGGTGTCATTTTGCTCCCAGGGGACATCTGGCAATGCCCGAGTTGTTTCAATTCTCTTGACCCTGCAAGCACACATATGTGCAATAGTGGGTAGAGGGTGGGGGTGATGCTAAACACCCTGCAATGTTTAGGACTGTCCCCAAACGTCAACAGTGCTGAGGCTGGAAAAACTGCACTAATCTCATTGCAGTGGTTTTTGCAAGTGCAGATGTGACACCCCTTTGTCAGGGCCACTTCAGTCCTGGGTATCTCCCGGGCCTTACCCCAGACCCAGACTTGGCAGTGAGGTTGGCAGGAGTTGAGAAAATGCCAGGAGTCTGCATTTTAAAGATACACCTGGGTGATTCTGTCGTGCTACCCTACGCCCTTGCTCCCCAAAGGGACATCCTCAGAGCAACAGCACCAAGGAGGAGCTGGATAGAAATACAGAGTCTCAGGCCCCACCCCAGACCTACAGAATCAGTCTGTGTCAGCACAACATCCCCAGCTGATCCCAGTACACAGAGCTCTGAGCGCCCCAGAAGTGTGAGACAAAAGAACTCAACGATAGCATCACCCCCACCCTCTACCCACTATTAGCATTTTCACGTTTCTGATCGAACTACTAGTTATGCATGTTTATCCCCGAACGGTGTGCTTGGTGCAGAGTTTGGAGCCCTTTTAAATAAAGGCACGAAGAGTCAAATTGGCTACAATGGATGGAGCAAGTTTTAAGCAAGAGATGAAGAAGGGGTGTGGGGAGATCTTCTGTCATCCTGAGGGTTTTTAGAGCTTTTATGCAGCAAGCATGCAGCTGGGGACCCTTTGGAAGGCAGCTAGGTGGGTGCTCAGGGGATAGAAGATGAAATAACAACTTTTCCATTTCAATACATTTCTGCAAACTACCCATAAAAAAAAAAAAAAAAAAACCAGCTCATGGCCAGTTTTTCTCACACGTAAGTGTGCGCTAGAATCACTACAACACGGGGGGGGGGGGTTCGGGTTCCATCTCTAGGGTTCCTGATTGAAGGTCTATGATAGAATTGCTAATTTTATTTCTAATAAATTCCCTGCTGCTGCCACTGCCTAGGGATCACTCTGAGGATTTCTGCTCGCTGAGAAAGCAAGAAACTGGCTCAAAGATGCTCAAGGTTGCAGGGCTAGATGTTTCCATCAGATGAGAATTCACACTTAACCCTGTCTGTGGCCCACAGCTCTGCCTGCCGGCTCTACTGACATTGCTTAGTACAAACAAAACCCCCGCGCTACTTAGTAATTCACATATTAAAGGTGAAAACATTAAACTCTTCAGTGTTTTTAATTCCGCAGAAGTCAAGTCAGACTGAAAACTGAAACATAAATGAAGTGTGGCATAGCTTAGCGGACTAGGGAACCGACTGCGGAGCCAGCAAGTAAGTTACAAGTCCCAGTTCTATCCCTGAGTAGCTGTGTGGTCGTTGGTAGGTTACTCAGCTTTCCCCCTTCCTCAATTCTCACATCTGTGAAACGGACATTATGGCTCCTAGGTCCCAGGCCCACAGGAAAATTACATTTGTTAGTACAGGTCAGAGAAACTTGTGCGAAAGTCAGCACTAGATACACATATTCCTTTCCTTCCCTGGTGCTCACATGAGATAGCGGTTATCAGGCAGAGAACTGCAAGATTCCTACAAAACTGCAAAGAGGTAAGAGGCTCAGGTGGGTTGAGCATCCCGGTAGAGTGTCTTATGAGGACGTGAAAGAGGCCTGCAGAAAGACTTCTTCAGCTTTAGACATCTAGGAACCCAAGGTCTTTCCTGGGGAGAGACCTTGGGTCTGGAGGCCGAAGCAGCCAGGTGTGACAGACACCAGGTTACTGTCCATGGCAAGCTGTTGGTGCTGCCCGTAGGTGTTTCCTGCTTCTCTGCTATGCTACTACTGGGGGTCATGGGAGGTCTATCAGTTTAATCTTTCCCCGCTGTATTTTCCTCCCCAGACTCCTTGAACTGCAAGGCTACTGGCAAATGAAGAAGGGCTCAACCTTCATAGAGAACGAGGCAGGGCCCTAGTTCGGGGTCACAGACCCGAGATGCAGGGTGCCTCCATGGGGACACTGCTTCCCTCATGGGGCGGGTGCAGCACAACAGGTCCCGCAGGAGGGGACCTCGAGCCTCCAGTCCACACAGCCTTTCTGCCGGCCCCCACAACGCCTCCTACAGCTTCAGGGGGCTTCTGGAAGTGCTGTCTGCAGGAATTAACTCTGAAGCCATCCCCGGGTTACTCAGCAATTCCCCTCTCTAATCGCTTCCCCGAGGGGGTCAGCCTCCCTAACCTCCCAGCTCCCACTCAACGCAGACAGAGTACAAGCCCCTAGGGTCCCAACCCACCTGAATTCATTCTAGGCCTCGCACGCAGCGGCCGACGCGGTACTTTGCTTATGGCAGGCTTTATTTTCACTTTTAAAAATACCAGCTATTATTTTAGAAGAGCCTACATGAGCCTCGGAGAGGCGTGGTCTTTAAAGTCCTGGGACAGCTGGTCCGGGAGGGGAGCAAGAGGGCGCTCCGAGGCGCGGGACCCCAAAGACACCCCAACCTTGCCGCGCCGGGAAAACGCGGGGGAGAAGAGGGGAAGGTCCAGTTAGAAGTCCCCAGCACCCCGTGCTGAGGAGAAAGGGCAGGCAGAGAAGAGAAAACCCACGGCGGCTTAAGCAGCGCCTTAGAAGTGCAGATTCTCCAGCCCCGCCCCCGAGATTCCAATGGGGGGCGTGTGCCCGAGGGGACTGAGGAATGCGGCTATTTAGAAAGGCTCCTCTCCCTCGGGCTCTTCTCAAGCCGAGGATCCCCCAACCTCAGCTGGGTCGGGATAGGGACGGCCCCGGGGGCTTAGGGTAGCGGGCTGTTCCTGCCACGTCCCACCCTGGTGTCCACGTGGCAGCCAGGGTGAGCCCACTCACTGCCCTGGACCCCCCGGCCTGATGGCGCCCATGTTTCTCAGACTAAGATGCGGAATCTTTACGGGGGCTCAGGGGCTCCCCCACGAGGTCTTGGACCTCCCAGACCTTCTCAGGCTTCAGCCTGGCTGGCGCTCCCGGCTCCGACCCGACTGCTCTTCCCTGCATCCGCGGGGTCCCCTGGAAGGTGCCCTCGGTGAGCCCTTCCCGGGACAATACATTAGAGATGCTCCCCAGCCCCTGCACAGTACCTCAGCCATCCCGATTTCCGCGTTTTTCTGGCACCCATCTCGAGCACATTTTACGTTGTGCCAGTTTACCGCGTGTGCGGACTCTCTCGTCCTCGCGGGATCGCGAGCTCCAGCACCGGACTTTTCTCCTTGTCCATTGCCCCGTCCCCGCGCGGCCATCAGAGGCAGGCTGGGCACCCGGTGGGAACGGAGGCTTTTCCAGATACGGTCCCCACTCAAGGCCAGGTCGCCCAGGGCGCGGGTCCCAGAACGTCCACCTTCCAGGGGGGCAGCCTCAACAGTGCCGAGCAGGATTCGGGTGCCCGAGCGCCCCGAGCACAGCCTCCGCGGGGGTCTCAGCATCCTCCCTGCGCGATCTCGGCGCGGGGGAGGGGCCCGGTCCGGCGGAGGCGTAATTTACGAGGGTGTAATTCGCAAGGCTCCCCCTGCGCGCGGGGGTCCGGGCCCCAGAACTGGAGGAGCTGGAAGCTGCGCCCCGGGTTCCAAGCCCCCTGCGCAGGCTTCGTACCCACGCCGGCCCGGGCAACCTGGTTCGAGCTGAGCGCAGCGCTACTCACCCGGCTTCCCCGCCACCTGCGGGGCCCCCTCCGCGCTCTCCCGGCGCGCGGGCTGCGGCTCCCCCGAGCGGAGGTGCTGGGGTTTGGTCTGCTTGCGCCGCGACATGGCGAGAGGACCAGGCTCCCGGCGGGGCCCTACGAGTGGCCTACTTCACACAGCGGATTCCCGGAGTTCGGAAATTACCGCCGCCCGCAGCCCCCCCCAAAGACCGGAACGCGCATGTCCCGGCAATTCTGCTCTTCAACCAAGCGAGGCGATTTATCAACAGCCCTGACGGCCGATTGGCCTGGAGCCAAGACCTCAGGGGTCCGGGGGACCCCGGGTCCGAGCCCCGGCAGCCCGCGCCCCCGGAGAACTCGTTAGAAATGCGGACTCTCGGGCTGCACCCCACACCCGTGGAATCAGAATCTGCATTTTAACGAGATCCCCAGGTGATCCGCGCGCACATTAAAGTTGGAGAAACCGTGTCTGCATTTTAACGAGATCCCCAGGTGATTCGTTTGCCCATTAAAATTTCACAAGCACAGCTCTCGTCCAACTTTAATGTGCGCACGAGTCACTGGGGATCTCGTTAAAATGCAGATTCTGCCTCGGTGGGGCTCGGAGGAGGCCCGAGCTTCTGTATTTCTAACGAGCTCCCCCGGGTGACGCTCTGGTCGCAGCGCTGGTGGGTTCGGACTTAATTGGTCTGGGCTAGGACCTGGGCATTGGTATAGAGATGTATTTTTTAAAGCTCCCTGGTTATTCTGACGCACCGCGAAGATGGGCCTCATCTCGCGGTTCTCAACCTCGGCCGCAGCGTGGAGCATAACATTTAAAGATGAGAGTATCTCCAAAAGCAGGGCGAATTGTTCCTGAAGGCGCCGATTTAAAAAAGGCACACTGAGAAAGTTCTAGATTCAGGTGGCTGAGGTCAAGGACCTGTGTTTTCATGCAGCGCGTTGCACTTCTGCTCCAGGACGGCGGCGCGCGGGGTCGAGGACCACACAGGAGACGCCGCTGCGGCCACCAGGGCACAGGCCCCGCCCAGCAAGCGACAGGCGCGGTCCTCCCGGGTTTAGGCTAATTGGAGTTCGTGCTCAGACTAGCTAGGACCTTCCTGAGACCCGAGGGTTACCCCTCCTTACACGATATGAACGACATCCAACTGGGAGCAAGAACCCCACCTACATCCCCCGGGTGTTTACTTTCTTAAATTGGGGAGTTAGTTAAGACGGCTGCGCCCCGAGCTTGCCGGGACCTGAGAATCACGTGGGAGCCCTGCTAAACACGCAGCCAGGTTCCGATCTGAATTGGGGGCGGGTAAACCTCTGTAGGTTGAGTTTTATGGTGTGGGAAGTCCCAGTTACGTGTCTGGGGCCTGTGGGATTTCACAGCCCAGGCAACGCGCCTTTGGCGAGGTGAAGGTTAGCAAACTCAGGGCAGGACCTGCGAGAAGCGCAGTTTTACATCTCTGCAAAGCTGAGCTGTTTCCGTCCAGCTTCCCTTTATGTTTCAGGCTGTGAATGGGCTTAGTTTAGGTCACACTGGGTGGAATCACTCAATATTGCATTTTCAAGCCTTCAGTTTAAGACAGCTTTTAGTTTTCTCTGGGACGGCTGTAGGTGGCTACAGCTAGGGGTAAAGGCATTTGAAAACAGGAAAGTGCTACCACTTATGGAGCCTCCTCCCTGGGCAGGTCTTAGGATGCCTGTCAGCTGGGAACAGTGCTGCCTCTGGGGAAGCTGACCCCGGGTGCACTGAGGGTGGGGGTTGGGAGATAGCTGGCACCCTTGTATACTGACTGCTGAGGGGTGTGTGTGTGTGTGTGTGTGTGTGTGTGTGTGCGCGCGCACACATGCGGGCATGCACACACAATTGGGTTAATTAGTCCTTGCCACCTGACACAATCATTACTGCTCTTTGCTAATCTACATTTGTTTGGTTGCCTGTCTGCTCCTTGGCTCTTTATGACATAATAAAGGAAGTCCCCTTCCTCCACAGAAACTAGAACCTTAACTACCCCTGGACCTCTGCGTCCTCTTCCCAACCTTCCCCTTGAATTCAATAACCAACAGAATTGTGCTTGCTTCCTTGCTTTGCCTTTTTTCTTTAGCAAGTTTTGTTGCACCTATGCATATTCTTAAAAATATATATTTTTGGAAGCTGGGAGTGGTGACTCATGCCTGTAATCCCAGCACTCGGGAGGCTGAGGCAGGAGGATCATTGCAAGTTCGAGACCAGCCTGGGCTACAAAGTGAGCTCAAGGCCAGCCTGAACTGCACAGCGAGACCCTGTCTCAAAAAGACAAAATATGTATATATATATATATATATATATTTAATTTTTAAAGAACTTTATAAAAAGGGTATGTAAACTTCTGGGAATTACTTTTTTCCCAGTTCATGTTATTTGCTGAGATAATCCAGGTTGCTGCCTTTGTTCATCCATGTAGACTGGTGTGTAATATTCCATGGTGTGAAAGTACACACGGTGTATTCGTCTTGTCTTCTGCTGATTGGTCTTTGGCACATTTTTGCTATTGGGACAGTGCTGCTGTGACCATGATCTTTCTATCAAGGGCCCCGGCTACTCATGAGTTAATGCAGATCTTGAGTGGGGTAAGAGGTCACACGGGTGATCTGGCACCAACTGTCACTTCCCTCAGTAGGGAGAAATGATAACATGGAGCCACGTCCTGTCCTGTGCTCCAGGACAGTGGTATGTGAGGTCAGGGTCGAGGGCCACACAGGAGAAGACCCTGGGGCCAGTGGGGGCACAGGTCCTGCCCAGTAGGTGACCACCTAATGTTTACCAAACACCTGATGTTTGCCAAATGTTTTCATTTTTCCAAAGGTATTACCAAATGTTTTAATTTTTGCCATCCATACTGATAAAATTATGGTTAAAAAAAGGTACCTGCATTTGTACTTTCCCCACATATTATTTCAACCAAATGCAAGGTGAAAAATATGAATCTTTTCTGCCAATATAAGGACAACCGGCTAGTTTTATTTTTGAAAGGGTTATTTTACTGTTTTGTTAAACATCCATTCAAAGTTCTAGTCTTCAAATTTATTACTACATTTGAGTTTAGTGGATTGATTTCAAGGATCATAACTAAAAAGTTGTATCTATCTATCTCTATCTCTATCATCTATATCCATATCTATCAGGATATACAGATCTAAATAAAAACAGGGTATCATAGGCTTTTTTTTCTTTTTTTTTTTGTCTTTTTGAGACAGGGTCTCACTATGCAGTTCAGGCTGGCCCTGAGCTCACTTTGTAGCCCAGGCTGGTCTCAAACTTGGAATGATCCTCCTGCCTCAGCCTCCCGAGTGCTATGCTTACAGGTGTGCACCACCACGCCCAGCTCATAGGCTATTCTTTTCAATTCCTTTTGCCAGTTACACAAGTTGACTATCCTTTCCATTGAAATCTATTTTATGGGCTGGGGATTTAGCTCAGAGGCAAAGCGCCTGCCTGGCAAGTGTGAGGTCGTGAGTTTGATTACCGGTACTGGGAAAAACAAAACAAAACAAACAAAAAAAGAAATCTAGTTTATAATTTTTAATCTTTCCTGATAAGCAACTAGGAACTTTTACAAATAAGACTGAAGAAGGAGCATGATTCTGTCTTTAACAGATGGACTTCGAACCTGGGGAAGCTTTTTATTTATTTATTTTGTTGTGATTTTAAATAGACTAGAAAATTCTGTGACTAAGTTTAAACATGCAGAGAGAAGTTCTGAAGGTGGTCACTCTGCATCGTTTTCAGCAATAATACCACACCAGGAGGAAATCGCAGCTAAGCATGCCTTTCAAAATACGCCCCCTGTGAGATGTTTCTGTGGAAAATCAGTTGCTTCCTCATTCTTGATATGACACCTTAGTCCTGGCTTTTAAAAAGTGGTTACCGGGTAACCCACTTTCTTCAGGGAGTGAGTCAATAAATTGTCAACCCTTGTCATGTGGCAGAAATAAAGTGAATACAATTTTCATAACTCTTCAGTATTTTGCCAAGAGATAGTGTGCACCCCTGGATTGGGGATGTAGCCCAGTGGTAGAGCACTTGCTTAGCATGCTTGAGGCCCTGGGTCCATCCTCTGCAGAGGGTGGAGGAACTACCTCTGAATTATACAAGAGTCTCCGGGTCACCTTGATTGCTCTATAAAGCATCACAAAAATTCCAGAGGCAGCATAATGTACTAACCAAAAGCACAGAGGAGCCTACCTCAGTTAGAACCCTGGCTTTTGGGGGTGTAGCTCTGTGGTAAAGCATGTGTTTAGGATGTGCAAGTTCTTAGGATTTGAGCACCAACACACACACACACACACACACACACACACAAAGTATCCTGGCTCTTAATTCCTTTCCTTGCTGTGTGATCTGAAGAAAGTTGCTGTGCTTTACTTTTCATCAGTGAAATGGCAGTTGTCGTGGCCCTGAGGACGCGTGGGTTTACACACGCAGAGTATACAGAACAACGTCTGTTAGGCTGTATCTGTAAGTGTGGAGAATAATTATTTGTAATAATAGGGTAAGAGTCATAGCTACCATAATAACAGCCAGAACTCATTCATAATTGGTTGTTCTACTTAACTAGGCACAGATATTCTATTTTACATGGAAATAAATTAGAATCAGACAAGCTACGGTGACATTACTCAACTCTGAGTTGCAGATTTCCCATGGTTTTGTACCAGCTTTAATTATATAGTAAATGAGTAAAGTTTTCCCTGCTCTTCTGCTCTCTTCTCTTCTGTTCTCTTCTCGTCTCTCTTTTCTCTTTCTTTCTTTTCCTTCCTTCCTTCCTTCCTTCCTTCCTTCCTCCCTCTCTCTTCTTCTCCCTCTCTCTCTCTTCTTCTTCCTCTCCCTCTCCCTCTCCCTCTCTCGTACTGGGGATTGAACCCAGGCTCTTACACATGCTAGAGAAGCACTCTACTATACAGCTACACCCCCAGGCTTTTTAATTTTAATTTTGA